ACAGCACACGGGCGGGGGGGGGGGGGGGGGTGGGTGGCCAGCACCACGCACGGCTGCCTTTGTCACCCTTGTGGTGATGATTTTACACACCAGGTACTCATTTGAGGCTGAGTCAACCTCGGGGAGGCCCAGGACCGGTTCAGATAATCGTTGCTGGTGTTGGCCGTGAGCGGGTATGTACACCCATGTGTACGTACACACATGCACTGACAAAGGCAAAAATCTCCCCTTGCATCCTACACAAGATGTTGGGGCCGGTGCTGTTTGCGAGCGCCTGTGATGGCCGGCACGGCACACGAGGGGGCTTATGTGACCAGCACCACGCCCGGCCACCTTTGTCTTCTCACTGTTGATGTATCACACGCGGCTCCCAGGTACTCATTTTGAGGCTAAGTCAGCCGGCGGGGGTGGGGGGGGGGGGGTGGGAGGGAGGGTGCAGGACCGGTTCGTGCGTTTGCCGCCGATGTTAGCCGTGACCAGGAAGCGAACTCGGCTCGCCGGGTTTATGACAGAGTGTGCTCACCACTTTGCAACTGTTCCACCCCGTTCTCGTTCACTCGCACACACACACACACACATTTTTACGCTCGCGCACGCACGCGACACACAAACATGCGCACACGCACACACTCGTGCGCGCGCACACGGAAGCATCAAGCGTCCAGGGAAGGCTTTTCATGTTTTGTTATTGTTTATTTATTTCTTCACAATAACCTACATTATATATTTTGTTCCCTTCTTTTTGTTTGCCCCCTTTCATTTTTTGTTATTCTTCCTCCTTCACGAGCGCCGCATCATCTCTCGTCTGCCTCTTCCATTCGCTTCGGCGTGCGGAAGCTTTTTCTATTTAACCCTTGCGACGCCGAGTCGGGGGCCGCCGCCGGTGGTCTCACGGGTGTTAAACGTGGGACGCCGAATTGACTTACCCTGCGCCCGCCTGTTCCGCGAGCCGCCTTGAGCAAAAGCGTCGGCTGTGACGGCGCACTGATTGGCTGTGACGGCGCACTGATTGGCTGTGGCGGCGCACTGATTGGCTGTGGCGGCGCACTGATTGGCGGCGACGGCGGCGGCTGCGCGTTCGCCTCTCGCGGTTCAAATCCGGCGAACGGCCCCGGTCGATGCTGCCGCGTTTATTCACCGTAAAAACATGCTACGCTCCTTTTGCTTCACAGTGAACATTAAGGATTCTGTGACTTCATTGAGCAAGAGTGGGCCGTTGTGTGGCGGTGTCATAGTCCATATTTGGCAAATAAAAATAAATGGCCCACAGATTATTTAATTGGAATGTTCGCGGCAATAATCACCCCCTGTTGTGAAAACTTGGACAGGACCCTCCTGATAAAGACCGCAGTGAGGCTTTCCTGGGTAAACATGCACAAGAAAAACAAAGAATAATTGCTTCATCGATTAAAATATATTATTGCGATTCTATGGATCTAGCATGAGTTTAATTAACGTACGTTAATCGATGGATCGATGCATTGTTACGGCAGCTATACCACCTGCGACGCACACACTCAGTTTCTCTGTAGTCTCGCCAAGCCCTTGCCGAGTTTATTCTCCGCTGCTGTGTAAAGGAATGTTGGTTCCCCTGAACATTTGCTCCTCCGGGGACGATATTTTTAGCAGATATTGATACCCCCAGGGAAATCAATATTTGGTTCAGGGATTAAATATTTTCAAAATATTAGTTGATGGGAAGGGAGGAGGAAGGAAACGGATCGTTGGTGGGATACAATGTGAGAGTTGTACGTGACTCTCCGTGAGAGACGCTGAGGATCGTGAAAGATGGAGAGACTCAAGAGCATCAGCCCCTCTATAATGAACATTACACCACGTAGGCTAGATAGACGTAGTTTGTCGGAACAGATGTTCGGCGTGGGGAGGGGGGTTCGTCTATTGAACTCCGATACCGGGGGCCACCTTGGCTCCCCTTCTGGTTTTGCTCATCCGCCGCCGGTCGCAAGAAAAAGGTGGTCGAACAAAAAAATAAACGGGCGAATGAAGATATTTCAAGAACACACCCGATAGGATGCGGTTTTTGCGGCTGGCAGCGGCGCAGGTTGGTGTGGGTTGCCGTGGTCTCCCGGCGAAAAAGCGGCGGCGGTGCGCCGGCGCCCCGGCGCCACGGCGGTGGCGGCGGGGGGATGAGAGGTTGAAGTGAGCGCCGGCAGGCGAGGGGGACTCGAGGGCGGGAGCGAGGCTGCGGAGGGACCGCCGGTGGAGGCTGGGCCTTAAACGGGGAGGAACGCCGCACAGAGACTCCAAGGCGTCGTTTTCAGGAGGGACCTACTGAAATGTTTTTTTTTTTATTTTAAGGTGCTTTCAGCCAATGTAAGAGCTGTGTATACGCGGGAAAACCCATTCTATCCCTGTGTGGATGAAAACCAGATGGAGATTAGTCCACTTGCTGTACCGCCTTCTCTCGGCCAGCCAGGGTATGCCATCATCTCCGATGCCCACAGGAAGGGAGTTTCACAACGTTTGTGTCATCCACCAACCCTGACCTCCGCATCGCTGGATTGCAGGCGACCGGTGGTGCTGAGCTACGGTGCTGTTTGTTTGCAGAGGGATGCTGCCACGCTGCAACGGTTAAGGCACCGAACTTGCAATCCAGATGTCGGCAGTTCTTTATATTTTTTGTGTTTAGTTTGTTGCTCTTCCCACGCACCTCCGATCAGCATGGTTGGCTACGTACGGTGCGAAAGAAGTTCAACATAGTACGTACTTCTGGTTGGTTTCCATCTCCCGAGACGGCAATGTCAAGTTTCTCAAATCCCCTCGCCTCTGTCCATCAACGCAGTGTGAATGGGTGCACAACAGTTAAGTCGGTCGGCAGGTTGCCCGCGTCGGAGCAAAGTCTGGGGTACTCCCACCTCTTCGTTTGGCCAGCGTTGTAAGAGTCGGCCAAAATACCTTCCAGAGGGGCTCGCTAGAGCCCTCTGTTGCGGAGACGCTTCTGGCGGCAGTGGTGTGACCAAGCGTTCGCAGGGCTGCACCTTTTACCTTTCACACCGACGCTCTTAGGCTGCTTCCCCCGGTTGCCCGAAAACTGAGCAGGCTTGCACGGCCCCCTCTCGCGCTGTAATGCAATGGGTGAGACCCGGCCAAGGCCAGAGGCTCCAAGGGGGTTGTGCCACCCCATTCCGACCACCCCGGGCCTCCCCTCGCCAATGCTTTGCCCCGTCTGCTAGGATCTACTCCCCCCTCCACCCCTCCTTCCTCCCCCCCCCCCTCCTCCATCAATAACTCGGCTTCTACGCTGCGCATTGCAGGTGTCTGCAAAAAGAAACCCACGGCCCTTTTGCATCGATTTTCATCGGCAAGGCCTCTTCCCTCTTCGCACGCGCGGCCTTGACGTTACTTACCTTTGTACGGATCGCACATACGCATGCTCGTGCGCGTGTTCGTGCAATTTTTACAACAGCAAGTGATGTCGTGTGTTGGGTGAAGGCGGGGAACGTTGGCGTTGGAGCATAGTGAAGGACAGAAATGGTGCTGCTACGTTGCCCTCTGCTGCCCACCACAGCCCTGTGGTGACCTATCGCGGACGGTAGAGAGAGGGTCGTTGTCTCTAATGTCGGCATTTCACCGGCATCGACTCAAGTCCATCCAGAGTTTGCGTCATTTGAATTCATGCTGCTGAAATGATGCACTCCCAGAAGGGTGTGCCGGCTGATGGATCGTGCGAGAAAGACGCGTGTTCATGTTTCACGTGGACGGGTGTATGAAGGAGACGCATTGTCTGCTTAGTTTTGTTGTCACTGTGCATTGGTGGTCACCCGTCCAAGCGTTATCCAGGCTCAAACCCGCTTTGTCTTTGGGGTGTGGCCACGTTGGGCGCATTCCGGGCGATTCATAAGAATGTGGAATTATCATAACTATCTCTGGACCATCAATGGAGAAGATCGCTGTCAACCGTGCATAGAGGGCAGTGCAACAAAAAATCCATTATTGTACTGCACTACGCTCCAACGTCTACGCGATCCACCTCCACCATCCCGCACCGACCAGCTTGCGCGGTGAAGCATGATCAGGCGGTGCTTACGACCCGCACGGCGTGGGGGAGGTTCTCATCCAGCAGTGGATCGACCAAAGGGCTCTACACGTGCACGTTACAAGCAACCAGGTCGCGTGCTCCTCCGCGCGCGTCCCCAACGCCTCTCGGAATCCCCGAGCGGTTGAACGTGGCTGGGAAGGGGACTATCGATTGACACGGTCGGGTTTCCAATTAGAAGTGGGAAAAAATTGGTGTCCTCACTTGTAGGACTATATATATACGTTTATCGTCCGCCCCATTCACAAGTGCCGTCACGAGTGCGTTTGTCCGAACGAACAAAATCGGCGGCGTCTCGCGGCCGGTCGTGGCCGTGAGTGGGAAGTGGTGGGAATGGCGGGAGTTGCTCAGGGGTCAGCACCGAGCTGGCACGGTTGACCTCTGTGACCTCGCGGGGTCTCGCGCCCCGTCTGGTCTCTGTGCACGGGTTGATCTTCCCGCCCCGTCTCCTGCGGTGGACGTCCTCTCGGAAACGTTCCCTTCTCTGGCTGCCGCCCCGCCGTTAGACTCAACCGCCGGACGTTCCTCCCTTCTGGCCACGACGCATCCTGCCCAAGCCTGCGTATTTTTTATTGCGAGTCGGGGTGGCCTTTGTTTCTCCAATCCATGTGTTCCCCATTGTCAGTTCTCTTTATCGCCCTGTCTGTAATTCGTCGCTTGAAATTGTCAAAGAAATCGTTGGACAGGAAGGCCGCGTCGAATATTTTGGAATCAAGGGCCTTTCGTGGTGCAGCTGTCGTTCGACCCTGCTCGATCGATGTCACCTGAGACAATTTAATTGTTTTTCACAGACAATGCCGTGTACCTCTTATTTCGTATTTATTGTCGAGCGAATATTTTAACAAAAATATAATGCCCACTTATATCATGGCCCGCGCTGCTGCTGCTGCTGCTGCTCCTCTTGCTGCTGCTGCTGCTGCTGCTGTGTTCTACACCCGTACAGGAAGTACTCATGATGCTGGACAACTACGTGCGAGACTTCAAGTCCCTCATCGACTGGCTGCACCTGCAAGAGAAGCTGGAGAAGACGGACGTCCTGGACAGGTGTGCACGGGGCCGCGTGTGCCGTCGCCACCACCTGGTGAACGGCGGTTGATAATGTTGCGCGCGTGTGTGTAGCGCTACTTACCTGGCGACCCGGGTTCGATTCACGGCCAACACCAGTGACGATTATTTGAACCGGTCCTGGACCTCCCCTAGGTCGACTCAGTCTCTAGGGAGACAAAGGCGGCCGAGCATGGTGTTAGCCAGCCACCCCCTTATAGGTGCTCGCTAACAGCACTTGCCCCAACAGTCTGTTGAAGCTATATGGGGGATATTTGGATTTAAAGCTTTCGTGACTGCAAGGATTCATCTTCTTTGGTTCTTTCGGTAAAGTCACGTAGAATGAGAATAAAATAATAAATTGATAAAATAAAATAACACAATAATATTCTCACGACGTTTCGGCCACAACACAAGCGGCTTTCATCAGGTGAAGGGACGAGACTGTCTGGGAGGACAGCGCTGGAGTGTCCCACCAGACAGTCTCGTCCCTTCACCTGATGAAGGCCGCTTGTGTTGTGGCCGAAACGTCGTGAGAATATTATTGTGTTATTTTATTTTATCAATTTATTATTTTATTCTCATTCTACGTGACTTTACCGAAAGAACCAAAGAAGATGGGGGATATTTGTTTTTGTTTTTTTATGCGCAGCGGTTAATCAGTGGTGGGTTGCACTTTCCAACCGGGAGTAAATCCCAAACAACAACACGACTCTGTCCTAAGATGTGACCAGGACCCATCTCTTATCAGGGGAGGATCGTTGACTTTGGCATCTTGACAGTTCTCCAGAATTGCGGAGAACTTGTCCGCTATGCTTTGCCCACCCATCCACGCACGTGCCAAGGTTCCGCTGAAGGAATTAGCCTAACCGGCACCAAGCGGGAGATCTTCCTTCAAAGCGAGCCTCGAGACCCGACAAAAAAGCTTTCATAGCTGAGCAAAGATGTGACCGTTGTCTCGTAATAGTGACGCCCATGTAGTGACTCGCGATGCTTCACTGAGTAAACGAATTGTCGTGGTGTTGGATTAGTGTCACAGCGCCCTGCACGCCGCTAATGCGAATGTTGGCTTGCGTCGAGGGTGGGGGGAGGATGGAGTTGATACATTTTGTTTATTTTCCGTGGCAGCTCGAGGAGTGGATTTTATTTTTGTTACCTATAAAAGCTTTTGCCCGTGATTATTATTATCATCATCATCATCGTCAGTAATTTCCAGCGAGAGAGGTGGGAAAAAAAACCACGAAAATGTAAAATTACTTAATCCCCAACAGAAGCACGACCACTAATGTGTGCACTTAAACACTCCTCCCCACGGACCCACGCAGCCACAAAGATGCTCCCGTCTATGGCTTCTTAACAGACTGCTGGGGCCAGCGCTGGTAGCGAGCATCTCTGAAGGCCGGCACGGCATGCGGGGGAGTGGCGTGGCTGACACACAAAGCCCGGCCGCCTTTGTCTCCTCAGTGCTGATGTTTACATACTGCACCAGGCACTGATTTAAGGACGACGTGGCCTAGGAGGGAGAGGCCCAGAATCCATTGAAAAATTGGTCACTTATGTTGGCGGTGAGCAGGAGTCGAACTCGGGTTGGGAGCACTCGCGTATACGCTCGTGTGTGCGCGCGTGTGCGTGTGCAACGCCGCCACATTGTGTATCGGAGCTGTGGCCTCTACCGGTCGCGATCATTGTGGCGCCGTGAATACCGGGCTCCGCGCATCGGCATAATGCTCCCTCCCTCGCTCCCTCGCTCCCTCCCTCCTCACCAACACCCCCCTTACAACCACCACTGCCGCACCACTCTCTCCCGCTCGTAATGAGAGCGCTCGCACCCGCACCGCTCATAATGGTCCTCCCGCACCTCGCGCACTTACCTAATTGTCGCGCGGATGAATGGAGTGGATGGCGGCCGGTGGGGAAGGGGGGGGAGGGGGTGAGAGGGAGATGGAGGAGGGGAGGCGGTGGTGGAGGGGGTTGGACAGGCTTTTTATTTATTTGTGTTTTTCCTTCGTTCATTCATTCTGTTGTTCACCCGGGGTCGGGTCCTTCGTTCTTCAACGTGCATTGTTTATTTTCTCTGCTTGTCCGCCCGTCTTGTGGGTTGAAGAGCTCGCAGTGTTTGTCCTCTTTGTGCGCCCGTCTGGAAGTCCACCCGCGCCGGTCAGATGCTCCGTCCAGCGAGTTGACCGACATTCTCCCCTTTTCCTTTGTCACGTTGTGAAGAAACAGTCGGCATTATCATCGCCAGCATCTTCAACCGTCAGGCGCTCGCTATCTGTTGGTGAAATAAGCCTTATCAGCGTGCATCAGCAGCGGCGTCATCATAGTCATCATCGGCATCGTTGCCATCATCTGTTCTCCGTCCGTCGATGTGATGAGCGGTACCTTTGGCAGTGTTGTGCGAGGTGCTGTGCGACCGTCACCCATCTCTCAGCTGCTTGTGCCCTGATGGATACAGTCATTCCATCTCCCTCTCGTTCATTTACAAGCCTTGCGTCCTGTGATTGCCATTCCATCCATCGCCATCTATTACATTGTCATCGTTTGGTTTTCCATCAGCCTTTTCTTGCACACGCCATTCTAATTCACGTGTGCCACGAGTATACTTCAGACCTTGTGCGCACACGTCTGTGTTTCGCGTGCTATAATTTACTTGCCGATTCGGATATTTGATTCCGCATAACGAGAGACGATAAGTGTGCAGAGGTGCTTGGAGAGAAGTGCGTGCTTCGAATTGCACCGAGAGACGGGGAAAAAAAGGGTTCACAGACTGATGAGGAAGGAGCAAGCTCGTATTGGACACGTTGCATTCATTGGGAAGGACAGCTCGTCGGCGTGGGCAGGCAGGATCATTTGCTGGAAGGGATGGCAACAAACGGATGAAACTGGTGGATGGACTGGTGGTGGATGACCACGGTGGAGATTATAAAAAAAAAGTGGGAATTTGTAACGTAATAAAAATTATCCACAATACAATGTACTTCCTTTTAAAGAGCCCTACTGACACCAGACGCCTCCGACAAGGTAGGCCTGTGTCAAGATACATTGACGTCGTGAAAAGTAAATATCGTTTTAGTGGAACAAATAAAGTTCAGTTTTTAGTTCAAAGATTTGTATTATTATTATGCTCGTTTATCCAGGAAAGCCTCACCGAGTCTCGTGACAACTCCTACCAGGGGGCACCTGTGAAGCATTGGCTTTGTTACCGTTAGCCTTTTGGCGTTGTTCTCTGGTCTGACGCTGGTGAGACTAGGCCTTAAAGAAGGCTGTCTCTGGTGTAGGCCAATCGGTCTCAAGGACAATGCAGATATTACCAGAGCCATGGTTTTTTTTTTGCATGTTCACCACAAGTACGTGTGGTTAATGCAGAGTTGATTCCTTGCAAAAGTTACCTGTTTGGTGTTTGAACATCTTAACACCTCCTGTTTTATTGCCAGAAAGGGTAAAACCTATTTTTACTTTTCATGCCTGCCAAGCATTCGTAGTAGGGGGGCGATGGTCACTTCCGTACGTTTTCATTTGAGTAACTTGCGGTGAAGCCATTACAATTTGACACATTTGGACCATGAAGCCAGCACGCAGCGGCCTACCCTTGCGAATGACGTCACGGGGTCCTTGACGTTCGCCGCGAAGCAGACAACGCGTCGTTTTACGCAAAAGGTTCTAGAATTCAACAAATGAAGCGCAGAGTTGATCGTAACAGAAATCGCGGTAACCGCACAAATTGTTCGAGAGCGCAGAAGCGTAAATCTCAGAATTAAACGGCTTGGCCAGCGGACTTCAGGCCAGCAAGCTTTCAGGGCGGCGAACAAGAGATTCTAAAAACGCTGAGGCGCACGACGCAGACAAGGGTCAATGCGACAAATGGGAAACACAGCGAGCGTTCGATAAGTTCCCGTCTTCCTTCATCCGTGCTCTCTCTCGCTCTCTCTCTCTCTCACTCTCCGTCCGCCGGCCGCGTGGTCCCTCTCCCGTACAGGGCCCACCACTCGGGAGATTTTTCGGCCGAGCTTCTTAAAAATGTCGCCGCCCCGTTCGGCTTGATTTCCCTCCGTTGGGGTTTTCTTGAGCCTGGAGATTGAGAGTGATCCATGAAGAGGTTAACGCTCCTCTGGCCGGCCCACCCGCGCACACCCGCGCGCGTGCGCGCCCGCCCGCCCACCCGTCCGCTCGCCAACTGTATTCATCGTGTGCACGTGGTGAGCCAAGGGCTTGCTTGTTGACCTGCAAGCGGTTGCTAATGTGCCTATTTTGTCGCGAGCCATTATAGCAGGCGGGCTAACAGCCACAATTTAGCTTTATTAAGTGGTTCTGATTGAAGCTCTGTTTGAGTAACATGGCTTGCCAATTAATGGTTTGCCGTCTACAAAATGCATAGCATGGGGGAAAGGGAAAAATATATATTTAGAGAAAGCATGGACAAAATAATTATGATTTTTATTTTAATCCTTGGGTTTGCAAACAGAAAGATATAAAACAAAAACTGATCAAGAGGAAATTGCTATGCCGTGTTTGTTTGTGTGTGAAAATTATTACATGCTAAACTGCCGTAGACGATGCTTATCTGCGAAACACGGCACCCACCTTCACGATAGCCGTACGGATATAAGAATGGCGCAAATATCAAACGCGTGACTGATGAACGATTTGATGCTCTCTCTAAACTGGGTGGAGTGGTGGCGCAGTGGTTAGCGTACTGCGCTACTAAGCGAGCAACCTGAGTTGGATTTCTCAGACGCGGTTAACATCACTGACGAGCGATAACTGAACCAGCGCTGGGCAAAGAGCTGTACGTCAATGATAATGTTATTATTTTTACCATCGCTCAGCAAACCCAGCGGTGCATCGTGGTCGGCGTAAGCCGCCGTGCGACCGTGTTTCTGTTTGTGATGTAATTATGTCGGTAGCCGTCAGTGTTCAGACGTCCCTCCACAATGGGCCAGTGTATGACCACCAATGGATGCACCTCCAACAGGTCCACCACATACGCCTGTATACCGGGCGCTTCGACAATCACATTTTAGTACCCTGCGCATCAATAGAATCGAGTGTCGTCAGAAGCTCGCAGGCTAAACAGCAGTGGGGTGGATTGGATTTAATAAATCTGCCCCTCGTTTCAACCGCCTCGCCGGGAGGTCGAGCTGCCAACCCCTGTATTGCAAGTCCGGCGTGCCGACCGTTACACCATGGTTGCCTATCTCTCTCTCTCTCTCTCGTCCCTCGTTAACTCCTCTCGGCGATGACGGGGGTTCACTCGAGGCCGCCTGTCCGTGCACCCGTCTCTCCCAGGCCGACCTCGCTGGCGTGGGAGGTGCGGAAAATGTCGCCGGGGCGGCACGTGGCGCCGAGCCCGCCGCCCGACCGCATCACCTCCGTCACGGGCACCAAGCGCAAGCTCACCTTCCCGGCGGCGCCGGTGCACAAGTGAGACATGATGGCGGTGGCAGTGGTCACGGTGGTGGTGTGGGCCTGGGTGGAATTGTGGGTGGGCCGTCGTGATTGTGTCTGTGTGTGGTAGGGGGGAGCAGTAGTGCAGCGGTTAGCACTCCGCACTATGAACCCGGTGACCCGAGTTCGATTTCCGTTCACGGGCAATACCCGTGACAATTATCTAAACTGGTGCTTGGCCTGGGCCTCTCCTAGGTCGACTTAGCCTGTTGCGCTGTTTGTAAACATTGCCACTGGGGCGTGGTGCTGGCCACCCACCCCCCCGTGTACCGTTTAGGTTATTGCTAACAGTACTTGCCTTTACAGTCTGTTAGGGCTATACGGGGGGACTTTGTCTTTGTTTGTGTGGTGGAACTGATGGCGGTGGTGTTGGTGGTGGTGATGGTTGTACGTGGTGGATCTCATGGCAATGGTTCTGTTGACTCATTTTATACGTAGGCTTTACCGACCGATATTACGATGTAGAATTAGTTTCTTTTGATTCAGATCATTCTCAATCAAAAGAAACTAATTTTGCAACATTCCAGTTTGCTGGAGAACCACGTGATAACTTGCTATGATTGGCTCTGTCGTCGGGTGGTGAAGGGTTTTCGTTAAAAATGTACGTTACACCTACACAAACTAACCTGAAAGAAGGTAATAATGACACGTAGACTTTCGTGACCAATATTATTCATATCAACACACCGGTGGGTTGAAGTAGTAACTAATCGGCACGTTTCGTTTACGTGACAAACATTATTAATTGGCTGTGTCAGGTGGTGGCGGGTTAACGACACACATATATACTTACTCGATCTAACCCAATAAATCTTTATTCCGAAGCTAATTATGGGTCTGTAGGTGGTTGTGGTGATCCCTGTTGGTGGTGGTATGTATGTGGCACACCTGATGGTGATAGCTTTGATGGTGGTGGGCCTCCACACTGGTGATGGTGGTTGACCTGATGGCGGCTGTGGTGGTGGCCGCCGAAGCCTTGGCAGTCGTGGGTGATCTGCTGCTGTGGCGGGTCTGGTGCACCAAAGTGCACCTTGCCTGGCACAAGCACCGTGGTGACGTCGCCGCCACTTTGTGGCGATTGGCGGCTGCCGTTGTTGTTGTTGTTGTTGTACCTTCTACAGGTTGCTATAAATGATTGATGGTGATGATGATGGTGATGACTATAATGGTGGTGATGATGGTTGGTATTTTGCTGTCCTTGTTAATGGTGCTGGCGGTCACGATATTGGTGGTCAGGTTCACGATGTGTGTCTCTGCAGCCCGCACTTTGCTGGTAGACTGAGCATACTTAGGTGAGCCCCTCTGTAAAACCGTGCATGCTGTCAATCCATTTTTTACGCATGATGCAGGAGTCCGCCATGCCTTGCCAAATACCCTACGAAATCTGCATTGAACTGTAAATTAACCAGTCACATCATTGTCATCCATTTGCCAAGTATTGCCTTGCGACAGTTTGGCCCCGGAGAGAGCGAGAGAGAGAGAACCCTCCCATCGTGATGTGTAACTTTCCTAGCTCATCAGATATTTGTGGACGGTTGTGAATATATTGACCCTGTCACCATCACGTTTACGGTCCCCTCCACTCAAAGCAAGAGTGGAGCGTCGCTAATTCCCCATTGGCGGCCGGTGGGCGGAAATTCCACATTTCCCCTTGACGGGCGCCAGTCTTTACGTGGTGCGACCACCGTTGACTTCCCAACAAACGGGGGATTTGAACTCACGACCTTGTGGTCGTGAGCACAGTGCTCTGACCACATTGAACTTTCTTCGGGTCGCTGCGATTCGGCGGTACCGCGGTACGACTGTACATGTCCTGCGATGTAGCATCCACGGTTATCGTACGACGACATAGGGTATATATATATCGTACCGCATATGTACAGAGTTGGAGGCGGCACTTTATATACAATGGGGCAATGACAACAATTACATTAACAATGTTTCCTGATTAACAGTTTTTACATAATCCGCTAAGCGATGCATTTCTGGGGTCCAGTTCTCATTTCTAATAGGCAGTTTAATTTTGATTTAAAGCTTTCGTGACTGCAGGGATTCATATTCTTGGTTCTTTCGGTAAAGTCACGTAGAAGGGAAACAATAAAATCATAAAAATGTAAAACAATAAAATTCTCACGTCGTTTCGACTGCAACACAAGCAATCATCATCAGGTGTGAAAACCACACCCAGCCATCAGATTTACCATGGAAGATGGCATGCTACCTTTTTTGGATGTCCTAATAAAAAAGAGCCCTGATGGTTCAATGAGCCACTCTGTCAACAGGAAAGCTACCCATACGGATGCTTACCTGAAACCGGATTCCCACCACCATCCATCCCAGAAGAATTCCCTCATCAAGACTCTGCACCATAGAGCCCAATGCATATCCGACCAGGAACATAGCCAGTGAACTCAAGCACGCACACCAAGCTCTTAAGGCTAATGGTTACTCAGACTACACAATCCGCAAAGCTATCACTCCAACCATGAAGAAGGACCCTCTTGAGGAGCGTTTCAAAACCATCACTTTACCCTATATTACGGGGATCACAAAAAAGATCTCCAAAATCTTGAATAAACACAAGATCCAGGTCCGATTCAACACATTACATAAAATCCGTGATCTGGTTCCATCTGTAAAAGATGTGATTCCGGACATACAGTACCCTGGCGTCTACAAACTAAGTTGCCTCTGTGGTAGTAGTTACATTGGAGAAATCAAACGACATGTCTCGGACCGCATTTGTGAACACAAAGCAGACCTAAAACACGGTAGGACCAACACCTCGGCCGTGGCAGATCACTGTTATAATTCAGTAGGCTCACATGACATGGACTTCTCCAAGACAGAGGTTCTTTGCAAGCCATCTGGCTACCATGAGAGATTCGTTCATGAGGCTATCCACATATACAAACACAGAGACAATTTCAACCGAGAAGATGAATTCTGGCTTAGCAATCATTGGAAGGATTTAATAAACCATTTCGGGTCTTAATTGATTGATCACGCTTAAGGTGGCTTTCAGACCGCATCCATTATTTTTCGTCTCCCCCCTCCTCTTTTCCGAACATAGATGGACTCGTCCATCTGAACAAACTGTCAAATCTCTCTCCGTGGTGCTAACGTTAAAAAAAACGCCACTTTTTTCAAATTTTCTTGCTGTGGTTTTCACACTGGATGATGATTGATTGTTTTGCAGTCGAAACGTCGTGAGAATTTGATTGTTTTATGTTTTTATTATTTTATTGTTTCCCTTCTAACGTGACTTTACCAAAAGAACCAAGAATAGGCAGTTTAATTGTTTAACTATTTACAAAGTAAATTACTGCACGCGCGTAATAAGCCTGGTAGATTTTTAAAGCTCGAATGATTACGATACTTATGGCAGGCCCGTATTGAGTGATCCGCAGTGCATATTTATCTTTAATGAATCTCTTTTTGTTGTTGTACTGGAAGTACAGAAAAGTTCAAAATCACTGCAGTACAATCGTGAAATAGAAGTACAGCGTTATGGGAAACTGACATTGCGATAATCGTCAAATTGGGCAAATTAATATGGTATCACGATTTGTTGTATCTATATATTTTTTTACCTGGTAAGGCCCACTCAGCTATGTAGCTTTTTTCAGAAGTGACCTATCCACAAACGATAGTTCAACGAAGTGGCTTATCATCATGTGGACATTAATTGCAGCAGCCAAAATACTCCACAAAAATGCTCTCACAGCGAACGACGCTGTCCTGTCTGTCCGTCCCGTTTGTCCGTCCCGTCTGTCCGTCCCGTCTGTCCGTCCCGTCTCTCTGCCCCATCTCTCCATCCCCTCTGCATCGTGTCTCTCTCCATCCCCTCTCTCTCCGTCCCGTCTCTCTCCGTCCCATCTCTCCGTCCCATCTGTCCGTCCCGTATTTCTGACCTGTTCTCCGTACCGTCTCTCCGTTCCGTTCCTTCGTCCCGTCTCTCTGTTCCATCTCTCTTCTTCCCGTCTCCCCCCCCGTTCCCGTCTCTCCTCATCCCATCCCGTCTCTCCATCCCATCTCTCCGTTCTGTTTCTTTGTCCTGTCCGTCCGACCCGTCTCTCTGTCCCGTCTCTCTCCGTCCCGTCTCTCCGTCCCGTTGCCGCAGCTCCGTGGGGTCGAGCTGGGCGGACAAAGTTCGAGCCAGTCAACCGGGCGCGGCGCAGGCGCCAAAACCCGGCACGGACGCTAAAGCAGGCGGGCCGGAGCGGACCCAGCAGCCGCAGGAGAGTAAGTCCAATCGATTGTCTAAATGCAGTGTGAGTTTGTACGTGTGTCATTATGTGGTGTGCTCTGCGAGCATCAATTAACACCTTTGCAAATGAGGTGATTCATCCCACAATATTTTCCTGGTTAAATGTTGTCAATAATTTTAAAAGTCGCTCAAATCTATGTAACGAATTGCCACTTTCCTCGACCTGCCACCGGTGTTTCTATGAATTGAATTGTCAGAAGGGAATAGGCCCAACGGCCCAGAATGCTAAGTGGCCATCAACAGACAGCACTGTTGAAGGTGTAAATAGGTAACCCGTTAACGTTTTGTGAAGTGAGCAAGGTTACGATGGGAACTTCGGAAAGCGAGATTGGAATTGCGAGTCAATTTACGCCTTTATTCTCTGTTGTCTCATTTGTGCCATTGCGCGGTACTCATTCCATCTCTCTTCTACAGAGTTTGGCATTCAATTATCGTCTTAAAATTGGCCTAATCGACGGGTGCATTATCTATCACTCGTATTTCTGCTCCAGCAACTCTGGATCCAAAGTGTCCGATTGCCATTGCTGGCCGTCCCGTGACGCTCATTGTACCGAGGTTCGAGCCCCTGCCGCCCATCTACAGGCGGTTGTTCGCAACTGCGTGCACGGAACGTGTGGTGCGGGGAGGGAGTTTTGAGCCTGCCTCTTTAATCCCAGCAGCCCGTTACCCACAATCCTCAGTTTTTATGCTCTTGGAGCAGGTCCGGGGATAGAGTGAGACAGCCATCATAGCTTGAAAGTTAGAAAAAGTATTTTAAAGTACAGGATGAGCCAAGGGAAGGCGTAAAATTGTATGTACACCCGCCAATCCTGCTTTATCTGGTACCGTGTTCCGTTATGCTCTGTTCTGAGTGACAAAGTGAAGTGTGTGAGTTACGCGAGTAAAACATTTTCTTGTTTTGAATGAGCATGCTCGCCCTAACGCAGTGTGAGTTTTAGTCGTGAGGTCACAACCCGTTTCGAAAATTGATTTAAACTCGCGTGGAGAAATAGGACGAGAAGCACGCGCGATGATCGCGCTCATTGCCGGCTCTGGCGATGCGTAGTAATGGGACTCGCCTTTGCTCCGGTCAAAGACATGAATGTCAAATCATTGCGAAATGCGTTTTGTAACTTCCCAAGAACTTAGTTCGTCAAAAGTGCTTTCAGGGATATTATCCGAAAACGTGAAAGCATTGAGCATTTAACCATTGACCTAAACTGACCTTAGACAGATGACGGCGACGATTGTGGTCGTTGGCAGGCTGTGCTCGGAGCGAGGTCTCCACTTCGAATTCCCGGGCTGTGGCTAACATCGGTGCCGCGCAAAACCAATCGGCGTGGTGGAGTTTTGCCGGAACACTCCTCTGTGGCTGCCGCGGCGCCATGGGGGAGGCCCTCTTGCCAGCAGTCGAATTGACAAAGGGCCCGACACATTAATGTTTTACCGTGCCGTCTGATTCGATCGTCTCTCGTCTGTTTGAAAAACAGTGTCACATTAATGTTTGCTGCATTGTCAACAAAAAAAGGTCGAGGCATTGTACACTTTTAACTGCGCGTGGTATAATTCAACATTTTTTTTATGACTTAAGTACGCGTGATTTAAGGAAGTAATCTTAAGTGGACCCTTTTAGATAAGAAATTTATAGCAAACATAATTTGCGAGCTGTAAAATTGGAATGGGGATGAGGCTGTATTATTAGTTTGGGTGTCGATGTAATTTTTGTTTGTTTCCAAAAGCTTTCGGGAGTATTCGTCGTGCGTTGAGGCTCGTTGGGTTAATACTCGCCTCATCTTGCGTAAGCGTTCCGTTAACTTATCAGCGTAACGATTGACAAGTGCGCAAGTTTTCGTGGAAGCCTGCCAGTCTCAAGCAAACGTAAATTTCAAAGCGCTCACTAAATTACAAAGTGGAACGAATCGTACGAGTTGACATCTGCAGCCCAGCAGCAGTGAGCAGCTTCTTCTTTTATTTCAATAAACAAACCTTGCGCCAGTTGTCACGACCAGGCTAAGCTCAACGCCAGATTGTAACGACATTGTTTTACGCAATGGTGGCCAGGCCGACATTTCCACAATCCTGAGGGGCAGCTGTGGTAAGGTTTAACGGTTGTGCATGAGTGCTTGGGTTGTACCGCGTATTGCTCGGCGTGATGTCCGACGTTCCGCTCCACGTGCTGCATTCATTTCCTGAAAGGGACAGGTCATGTGCCCTGTCGATCACGTGGCGTTTGGCCGGCTGCTGCGCTTCAGATGTCGGCCAGCCGACATTGATTAGTAATAGTAATAATAATGATGACATTTATAACGCGCCAGATTTTGCACACAAGTCAACAACTCGGAGGCGCGGGGCCAAGCTCGGCAGCTGCTCGAAAGCCCTGAGACCCAACACATCTAGAGAGGCCTTGAGACGTTTCTTGAAAGTCAGAGTGCATTTGATGTTGCGGATGTGCAAAGGGATTGAGTTCCACACCGAGGGGGCGATAGCAGAGGCCCGATGTGAGGCTGTAACAGTGCAGTGTTTATTAATGTAGTGTATAGTGTAGTGTATAGTAGTGTCGTGTGTAGTAGTGTAGTGTATAGTAGTGTATAGTAGTGTAGTGTATAGTGTAGTGTATAGTAGTGTAATTTATAGTGTAGTGTATAGTAGTGTCGTGTATAGTAGTGTAGAGTATAGTGTAGTGTATAGTAGTGTAATTTATAGTGTAGTGTATAGTAGTGTCGTGTATAGTAGTGTAGTGTATAGTAGGGTTCTACCACGAGCTTCAGTGCAAGGCGAGAGTAGTGAGGCGCGGTATGGTGGGGAACCAGTGGTGAAGGCGTGATGACAAAGGCAGGCGATTTTAAAAATGTGTCCTGCTGGCGAAAGGGAGCTAGTGAAGAGTACGGAGAGCTTGTACACATGAGCGATGAAGCTAAAGGGCGACATCCGCTGGACTATGTAACGTTGGCCTGGACAGATCCACGTCAAGGCCAGAAGGGACGATGGCCGGTGGTCGAGACTAACGATGGAGTGGCTGCCAAAGGAAGGGAACGGACTTGCCCCCAGAGAGCGGACAATGATTTCGGCATGTGTGTTGGGACCTAGATGGATTATTGCACCGCTAGATGGAGAGAGATGACGACAGCTTGGGGTGGCCTTCATCCAGCAGTAGATAGAGATTATGGCTGATGATGATAATGTCCTCTTCATCATCATCATCAGCAGCATGATTATACTCGTCGTCATCATTACCATCGTGAATCACGATCAGTCATTACCATATTCTTTATCCCAATCGTCGTCGTCTTTATCACTGTGACGATGATGTGGTGGTTGTTTTTCTGCCGCCGCAGGCGCATCTGCGGCAGACGGCGACGGCTGGGAGATGGTGCAGAGGGGCCGCCCTTCCAAGTCCCGCTCGGCCACGGCGCTTGCCAAGGCAGCTTCCGGAAACGCGTCCACAAACGGCGGCGCCGGTGGCGGCGCTGCGTCAGTGCCAACGACAAACTCGCCGCCGGCGGCCGGCGGACAGCCCGGCGGCGCCGCGGGCAAGGCCAACGCGTCGTCATCGTCACGCAGAGACGTCGGCAACAAGGAGAACCGCGACGTGGCGCCGAGGAGCGCGAGGCCCAACGCCGGCTGTGTCGGCGGTGGCGGCGCCGGAGGAGCCAAGGCGACCGTGAGGCCCTGTCTCTTTTTGACTTTTTGTCCCCATTCGGTTGCTCCGGTGGTGCCGTCGGCGTCTCGTCGCGAGACGGAAAGTCTCGCAGAGCAGCGCAATTGCACAGTGTCAGCGAGCGGCTCACGTATGTGGATAGCCCAAAACTATATATGAAACCCCTTCAAGTGGTCCACACGGCGGGGGGCCAGCCCCTGCCCAGCTGCAGAGAGAAACGCTCGCCGTGTGACGGTCAAACTTATATTTGTAATCTTAGAAGTGGAATTTATCACAATTAAGTGCATAATGCAATGTGATGGGTTTTTTTTTTGTGTGCAATCATTATCAACCAGCCTGAGAACATTAACACGCCACACTTGAGAACCCAATTGAACCACAACTCTTGTGTAAGTCAGTGGCTCTCTCATGTAAATCATTGGTGACTTGGCTAAGACCACCAACTCCACTACCCTTGAGAATCAAATTTAAATCACAGGCGGTGTTTCCAGGTCAACACTTTGACCGCTGCTCCACCAGGCTACCTTTGTCTCATCTGCTTTTAACAGAATCCCATGACCCTTGGCCTGTGTAAGCGGGCGATCTTTGGGCTCTAGAAGCCTGTATTTTCTTGGAGGGTCCCTATAGATTTACTCGTCGTACACACCTACATGCTTGTCATTGCCGAGTTGTACTAATGGTAAATCACAACGCACGAGAAGGAGCATGTCTTGTAGGCATGTCTCCCCCTACGCTGTCCAATATGAGACGTCCTCCTCGTTTGTCGCAGGCGCAAGCGGACATGAAGGCGCGGCGGGAGAGAGCAGCCAACGTATGCGGTGTTGGCGGTGGTGGCGGCGGCGGCGGCGGTAGTGGCGGTGGTGTTGGTGGCGAGGATGTGAAAGTGTCCAGAATCATTGCACCAGCACTAGAGAATCAGGACAGTGATGTGGGACCAGGGATCATCAGTGAAGAGGTGTGTGTGTGTGTGTGTGTTTAACCCTTTCCAACTAAAATGTAAAGTATATATGCATGAGCTTTGATCGTCATTCAGTCTGTCTGTCGTGGTGGGGGGGGGGGGGGAGCATGGTCAATTTTGTTAAAGATGATGCAAATCTTATTAATACTTCACTATAAAGTTATATTGCTATTAGGGACTTTGTAAACTACAAAACGTTCCAAATTGATCAAAGGCTTTCCCAAAATAGACGCCCCGCCATCTACTGAGCTCCACAAAGAGCGGCGGGCCGCACTCTTCCACCCGCGCTGCTACATAGAGTAATATTCTCCGTGCCACTCCAACCGATTCTCACAACTGGAATTATCCCAAACGAAGTGCAAGGCCAGATTTTACACGGTGGGATGTTTTGCTGCGAGGCCATCGGTTTGCCGGCAGGTGGGGGGGGGGGCGGACGCAGGGGGTTGAGACCATCAACTCGGCACACATTCGAGAGCCCGGTTTAACCACGGGTGGCTGTGCGGTGCCGGCTCCGGTGATCCCACCTCGCGGCCGCCCCGGCCACTCTCGCACCACCCCCCACCCCCCCCCCCTCCGTGTTTAATCACGCCGAGTGTTGCAGCGCGGAGGTAGCGGCGTCGGTCCGCGCGTTCTGCAAATTAACGGGCACACTTTTATTTACGTGTTTTGTTCTACCCGCCCCCCCGCTGCTTGTGTATTTATTTATTTATCTCACACGTGGGGTGTGTGTGTGTGTGTTTTTTCTTTCCGCCATAATGGGTGCTTCGAGAAGCAAGGCAATTTGGTACCCACTTTGCGCCGTTAGTGGTATTAATTAGCGCTAATTAACGCGTGGTCTTTTCAGCGGACGATTACTCCCCTCTCGGGCGTCCGCGTGCATTAGGCTCATTATGCTGCCGCGTGTTTGACACATTTTGACACACTGTTTTGCGCGCTCTCGCTTGGGTATCGCTTTGTTTCGCATTTTTATTTTTTACCCCCCACCCCCCCCTCTCTCCTTACCACTCCTACTACGCCCAATCTTTTCTCCAAAATCTCAAAAGAAAGCCATAAAGAGGGAGACAGACGGTGCGGGGAACGTAATATAGGAAATGTCACCATTTAGTTTTGTCCATTTGTTCTTCCTTCCGCCAAACAAGCCGCTCGTTTACGCACTCCCCGTCCATTACAGAGTGGAAATCGCTGAAAGGCGCCCTCCGTTAATTTACTCGCCGGGGAGAGAGAGAGAGAGAGAGGATTCACTTGCGGCCCCGGCTCACGGACAATTACGTGTTGAGCGCGCGAGGTGGACGCGGGCACTAATGGCGCTGTCTTGGCCTTTCTCTCTCGCTCGCTCTCGCTCTCGCTCGCCATCTCTTTCCCCTGGGCGGTTTGTTTGTGTCCGAGGCGACCCGCGCTGGGTTTCCTCGTTCCGTAGCGTTTAATTCCCCCCCCCCCCAACACACTTTTACCGAGTGGGACTCTCTTCCTCCTCTCTCTCCGAGTACAGTCGAGTCGAATGAGTACGTGTTGGCGAATCGTGTTTCAGTGTTCGCCTCTGCTGTGTAAGCGACAAAGGTAAAGACACAGTTCCGCGATTGTTCGCTCACGCAACTGCTGGTGGAAGTGCTTCTCTTACATTGAGCGCTAGAGAGCCCCTCCAGATGGTAATTGGCCTACTCTTCCGTGCTCGCCAGGCACCTTGGCAGAGGTGGGAGTGCCCACGCTTTACCCCACCACAACCGACCTGCTGATGGACTAATTGTGGTTTCGATCCCGACCCTGACGCCTGTATATTTGGAGTTTGCGTGTTCTCCCCGTGGTCACGTGGATTTTTATCCGGGTCCTCTGGTTTTCCCCTCCACATTTAGAGAAACATGCGTTTTCGAGTATTTGGCTGCTTGAAAAAAAACATCCACATGATAAGCCACTTTGTTGAGCTATCGTTTGTGGTCAGGTCGCTTCTCAAAAAGAGCTTCATCCCTTAGCTGGTAAAATAAAAATAGTGCAGTGTATTATTTGGTGACTGCAGAACCTTTTTATCTTTTACACTGCAATTTCCCCCGGGGGAGCAAGGGCACCTATGGACAGGATCTTTCGCGCCTGAGCGGACGGTGCATCCCGTCTTCCACACGATCATTATTATCAATACGTGTATACTTACCAGGGTGGCCAATGGGCCCAGTCGGATAGCCGGGGCTGTACTTACGAGCCTGATTATCATCGCAGGCTGCGGTTGCGTGCCCATAACCGGCGACGTTCAGTCGGACGGTGCTGTTCCGTTTTCGTGACCCCCGTCTTCTCGTGGTCCTCATCAGAAAGAGGAGCGCGATGACCCGCCCCGTCTCGGCGACCCGCCGGCCGCCAGCCAGACGTCGGTGCCAGCGGAGGTGCCGACCGACGAGCACGGAGGGTGCGGTGCCGAAGACGGTGGCGCTGGAGGAGGTGGAGAAGGAGGTGGAAGTGAAGAAGTTGGAGGAGCAGTGCCGGAGAGTGAAGAGGTGGCGCCCAGGGACGGACAAGTGGTGCTGACGTCCACTGAGCTGCAAAACGTGCGTTGAGTTACGCTGCCGTCTCTGCGTGTCTGTTGAGTGTTGAGTGGGGGTGTCGGTGTGCGGGTGTGTGTGGACTTGCCGTACCAGCGGTGTCAAGATCGGCCTCCGTGGAGGAGGCTCGTGAAGGACGCTACTGGGCAGTTGTAGGCAGTCACCTTCCAGCAACAACAAAGGGCGGAGGAGCGACGCTCACAACAACGAGCGGAGCGCCGGGCGGCTAAAACAGAGCAAGTTGGCACAGTAGGGGGGACAGGTGGTGCATCGGTCAGGCGTCTCAGTCAGTCGACCCGTGGCACCTGGGTCTGTCCCGTGACTTCCTTCCAGCGGGCGTTCGACACTTCACGTGGCCTTAACGTGCTGTTGTTGTGTGTGTCTGGCTGTGTCTGTGCATGAGTTAAAACGTCTGACATTCTGCCGAACAACACCACGGAGAGCCGTGCTCCCAATTGTTTGCTGTTTTTAGGGAAATTAGTTTTGAGGGCCTCTTTCCAAAAACGCCTGCCTCTGGCTCCGTATATTTGAGGGCAAATGTTGCTCGTTCTCACGTGGCCCGTAGCTCCGCAGGCTGTGCCCTCCCTTACCCGCCACCCAACATTGGCCACGGCCGCTCGCATCGAGACGCCCACGGCGTGGATTTGAGAAGTGACCAAATCGCCCAGGGCACCATGGCAAGTGACCCCCGAGCCGGCCTCTTGAGCTCTCACCTGGTTCAACAAAATAATACATCTAGGCTCGGCTTGACCCGGGAATGTGCCCGATCTCGCCCCAATCCGGTAAGTTAAGCGGGCCGTAGAGCTTGGGCAGTGCTTGGACGTGCGACCGCCACGCCCGCCAGGCCGCCCTCGTAGGCGGAAGCGTGTCCCGGCGCTTACGCGGCAGAGGGCAGGGCAGCGAAACCCCTTCGTTGTACTGTACTTCTGCGCTTCTGCACGTGCCGCGCGCGTGGGGGGGGGGGGGGGGGGGGGGGGAGGGGGAAGCACTCGTCCGGCAGCGGATCGGCGAAGAAGACGAACCAGCGTGCGCGCGCCAGAGGCCGGGGCGAGCGCCTCGTGCCGTTGAATTTGAGCCCCGGTGACGGCCGCGGCACTGGCACGAGGGAGCTGCTGGCGGGGATGCATTATCGCGCGCAGCAACAGAAGTCCCTCCCGTGCTCTAAGGCCCTCGAGTTGCATGGCGGTTTCTTTGTATCCCCCCGTCGCTGCGGGCTTTGAAAACATTCGCACTCGCGCGTGCGCACACACACACACAACAACAACAACAACAACCGCCGTTCGCCACTAAGTGGCGGTGACGTCACCACGACGCTTGTGCCAGGCCACACACACACACGCGCGCCCACACGCGCACGCACATTTATAATATTTATACACATTGTCTTTCATGCTTTTTTCTGCGTTGGCTTTTATGATCTCGTTGTTGATTCACTGCGAGGTTGTGCTATTCACTCGCTCGACCTTTCTTGCTTTATCCAGGCTTGCTGACCCCCTCCCCCCCTCTCCCATCCGCAAAGCATCCAAACCCGAACACCCCCCCCCCCCATTCCCTACCGTACTTCCCTCCTGGCGCTCCCGCATACCCCCCCTTTTCTCTCCCCCCCCCCCCACCGCCCGGATCCTCAGAAGGTGCTCTCTCTTTCTCATGTGCCTCCTCACTTGGCGGGCTTCTTTCGGCCGGAGAAGCGGCTAAAAGCTTTCCCCTCATTGTTGCGTGATGCTCGCTCGCGTGGAGTGGTCATGCGCAGTGTTGGTGGTGGTGGCGGCGGCGTGCCTTCCTCCACCGCCCCTCTCGCTCTCTCCTCTCTCATGTACTCTGTGTGTCGCGCTCTCTCCTCTCTCTAATGTACTCTGTGTGTGTGTCGCTCTCTCCTCTCTCTAATGCACTGTGTGTGTGTGTCACTCTCTCTCCTGTCTAATGTACTCTGTGTGTGTTGTTCTCTCCTCTCTCTAATGCACTCTGTGTGTGTGTCGCTCTCTCCTCTCTCTAATGCACTGTGTGTGTGTCACTCTCTCTCCTGTCTAATGTACTCTGTGTGTGTGTTGCTCTCTCTCTCCTCTCTCTAATGTACTCTGTATGTGTGTCGCTCTCTCCTCTCTCTAATGTACTCTGTGTGTGTTTCTCTCTCTCTAATGCTCTGTGTGTGTGTGTTGCTCTCTCTCCTCTCTCTAATGCACTCTGTGTGTGTGTTGCTCTTTCTCCTCTCTCTAATGCACTCTGTGTGTGTGTCACTCTCTCCTCTCTCTAATGCACTCTGTGTGTGTTGCTCTCTCTCCTCTCTCTAATGTACTCTGTGTGTGTGTTGCTCTCTCTCTCCTCTCTCTAATGTACTCTGTGTGTGTGTCACTCTCTCCTCTCTCTAATGCACTCTGTGTGTGTGTTGCTCTCTCTCCTCTCTCTAATGCACTCTGTGTGTGTGTTGCTCTCTCTCCTCTCTCTAATGCACTCTGTGTGTGTCACTCTCTCCTCTCTCTAATGCACTCTGTGTGTGTTGCTCTCTCCTCTCTCTAATGTACTCTGTGTGTGTTGCTCTCTCTCTCCTCTCTCTAATGTACTCTGTGTGTGTGTCACTCTCTCCTCTCTCTAATGCACTCTGTGTGTGTGTTGCTCTCTCTCCTCTCTCTAATGCACTCTGTGTGTGTGTTGCTCTCTCCTCTCTCTAATGCACTCTGTGTGTGTGTTGCTCTCTCCTCTCTCTAATGCACTCTGTGTGTGTGTTGCTCTCTCTCTCCTCTCTCTAATGTACTCTGTGTGTGTGTCACTCTCTCCTCTCTCTAATGCACTCTGTGTGTGTGTTGCTCTCTCTCCTCTCTCTAATGCACTCTGTGTGTGTGTCACTCTCCTCTCTCTAATGCACTCTGTGTGTGTTGCTCTCTCTGCTCTCTCTAATGTACTCTGTGTGTGTGTCACTCTCTCCTCTCTCTAATGCACTCTGTGTGTGTTGCTCTCTCTAATGCACTCTGTGTGTGTTGCTCTCTCTGCTCTCTCTAATGTACTCTGTGTGTGTCACTCTCTCCTCTCTCTAATGCACTCTGTGTGTGTGTTGCTCTCTCTCCTCTCTCTAATGCACTCTGTGTGTTGCTCTCTCTGCTCTCTCTGCTCTCTCTAATGTACTCTGTGTGTGTGTCACTCTCTCCTCTCTCTAATGTACTCTGTGTGTGTTTCTCTCTCTCCTCTCTCTAATGCACTGTGCATTAGAGAGAGGAGAGAGAGAGAGACAGAGACATCGTCTCTGTCTGCCTGTGTCTGTCTGATTGTCTGTCTTCATATTTGTCTCTTTCTAACCTCACATTTTCCTACATCTTCCATTTAGGCCCACGCAGAACACGAGCTGGTGGTGTGGTCGCCTTTGTCTCCGCAGTGCTGATGTTTACACACCGCACCAAGTACCCCTTTAAGGCTGAGTCGACCTAGGGGAGGCACAGGGCCAGTTATATTATTCACCATTGTTATTTGACCGTAAGCGAGAATTCGAACTCGTCACCAGGGTCGTAGCGCGGTGCGCTGACCGCTCACGCTACCGCTGTCCACGCAAAGCACACAGACACACGCATGTGTCCACACACACACACATACACGTACAACAACATGACAGGTCCTCTGTAGAGCGATATCAACTGTGCGCACGATCACCGCTAGCGGGCAAGCGCCTGTTTGGAGCTGCAAGGCAGAAGAAGCACTGCGGTGGCCGATACAAGTTGTGGTCAACGGCCAGAAACACTCTGCAACCATCGGGGCAACGTGCCTGAAGACGCGCTTGTGGCGTATGGGGTTAATATGAGAGTGGGCTACGAATATATTTGGTCGCCCCCAACCCCCCACCCCCCCCCCCCAACACACAGTTCTCCTTCCTCCTCCACCCCCCTCCGATTCCAGGGATCGCATTTGTGCGCTCGGCTCCTCTCCCGAGGCCATCAGTCCCCGGCGCCATCTAAATCGCTCTGGGGCAGTGGGGGCATGCGTGTGCATGCGTACGTGCGTGCGCGAGTGTGCGCGCGTATGCGTGTGTGTTTGTGTGGGGGGGGGGTGAGCAATGGGGCAGCGGTTAACCCGTTGCGTTACGACCCGAGTTCGATTCCCACCCACGGCCAATGACAGCGAACGGATATTTGAGCCGGTCCATGGCCTCCACTCGGTCGACTCAGCATTAATTGAGTACCTTGTGTGGTATGTAAACATTACCACTGGGGAGACAAAGGTGGTCGGGCATGGTGCTGGCCACCCCACCCCCCTGTGTGCTGTGCCGGTCTTCATAATTACTTGCAAATGACACTTGCCAAAATAGTCTGTTCAAGGCTACATGGGTGTTCTTTGTATACGTGTGTGGTAATATATGTGTGCTTATATTTGTGTGTGTATGTGCATGCATCAGTATGTGTTTGTCGACATGTGTATATGTCCGTGTGTATGTCCGTGTATAACGTGGAGCAAAAAAGCGTGGTGATTAGACCCACTGCTTTCTGAACCCGGAAACCAGATTTCAATTCCTGGCCACGTCTGCCACCATTGGCGAGCGATGTCTGCACCACTCCTGAGCCCCTCCCCCCACTTCACTAACCCTCATGGACCAGCATGGGGAGAGGCCTTCACACAGCAGTGGCTTGACGATGGGATGCAACTTATAGCATGTGTTTGTATATACAGTAAAACCTTGGGATTGCAAGACGAGCAAACATTTTAAATAAATATTAATTTGATAAACGAGCGATGTCTTGCAATACGAGCAGTGTACGTATACGCTTTGTCTACTGAGCGTCACGTGATCACAACTGATATACGAGTGCTTTGATACACGAGTGCTTTGGATTACAAACACGTTTCCGGAACAAATTATGCTCGCGATCCAAGGTTTTACTGTATGCATCGAGAGCCACAGAATCGAATTCAATCCCTGCACCGAGGTAATTCCAAGCTGGCTTCTTTCCCTGCTTCTCGTCGAACTCTTCAGTTGCTGTTCCAATTTCCATGTTTCTGGGCCACGTGTCCTCAGCTCTGGGCTGTCGCCTGATGATGCCGGTGTTGTTCTAATTACCAGCGAAACGTCATGGGACTCGAATTGTAAAAGTTGTGGGTTTACTCTCCAGGACACAACTAGTTAGTGCTGAACTAGTAACGAATTGTCACGTTTTGTTTACGTGACAAACCTTACTGATTGGCCGTGTTGGGTGGTTGCGGGTTTTAACGGCACATGTATATTTACGCGATCTAACCCAAAACACCTTTATTATGGATAATAACAGGTACTACCCGTCGATTAAAACTCGTCTTTAAGGGACACATTGGTTTTGTTTACTTTTAATTCTCAACAATGGCATTGGATTTACACTGAGAAACAGAAGCAGCAACACGTGGGTCGGAGGATACGCGCAGGTCGGTGACATCATCGCATTGACAGCTAAGAAAAGTAAGAAAATAAATCGGCAGACAATGTCTGCTTATATCCACCTCTCCGTAATAAAGAAAAATTCTGCCCAAACCGTCAGCCACACACACAAGGCCTTCTGGGAGTGCTCGATTTCAGCAGCATTGATTCAAGACAAGAAAACCCTGGACTAACTTGGACATTCAGTGTCTCAAACAGCAGAGTCAGGCTTGCTTGAATCGACGCAGTTGGACTGCCGGTCCTATCCACAGACTCAGCCGCAGGCCTACTCACCCTCAACACAGTGGTACCGGAAGCAAACGCTTGGCTTAGGCACTTCGCATTCTTAAATAAATAAACCTGCCGGTCCTAGTTCGACACAAAACTCTATAACAGCGGGCTTGGGCGGGACACGTCGTGGCCTGACGAGCGGAAGTATCCGTCCGAGATGGCAGCGGATCGATGGTGGCCGACGGTGACGACGGCATCGACGATAACCGACGCCCCTTTTGCCACGGCCGCGGCTCCCACAGAGCATGGCGGCCGTGCTGGCGGAAGAGGAGGAGCTGGCGTGCCGGCTGGAGCGGGAGAACGAGGAGGCGATCGCCAACGCCATCGCCGAGGAGGAGCAGCTGACGCGCGAGATCCTCGACGAGCAGGACCTGGACACGGCCGGCGAGACGGACACGGAGAGCGAGCTGTCGGTGGGCGACGATCCCCGCCCAGCGGTCCGCTCAGGGGTCAGGGGTCAGGGGTTGAGGGGGTCATGGTTACGGGTTGGGAGACGGATTCACAGGGCGAGGTCTCGGTGAGCTACGCTTCCCCACCCAGCGGTCCGCTCAGGGGTTGAGGGGGGTCAATGGCTCCGAGTTGGGGGACGGACTCACAGGGCGAGGTCTCGGTGAGCTACGCCTCGCACTCTGCGGTTCGCTCTGGGGTCAGGGGTTTACGGTTAGGGTCGTGCTTAGGAGATGACTCGGAGCGCGAGAGACATTTTCCCCCAAGGGAGGTCACGGGTTTAGGGGTTCTCGGGTTTGGGTTCGGGGGATAGGAGGTGGACACGGCAAGATGACTCTCAGTGAGCGGCGCTCTCTACGCTCAGCGGTCAGGGCATCGCTGAGAGGTTAAAGGGTTCAGGTTGGGTGTTAGGAGATGGACAAACTGTCTGTAAGTGAGACTGTCTGCTCAGGGGTTTGGGTTAGGGTTTGGTTTAGAGGTACACTTTATAGGGTTATAGCATTAATCGTATTGGGATAGGATTAGGCAGCGGGGTAATAGTGTCGGATAAGGGGTTTGGAGTTAGGTGATCGGATTATGTATATGGACTTAGTTATCCTTAGTAATCGGTGGTTGGAGTCAAGATTAGTTAGTGTTGAGTTTATGACATTCAGGGTAGGGCTGTGGGTTGTGGATTTGGGGTAAATGCAATGGGATTTTTGTTTTGTATTTAAAGGATTGGGTTGAAGGGTTATGGATTTGAGGTTTGGTTAGGGTCAGGCATGTGGGGTTTAGGGTTACAGATTGGCAGTCATTGGTTGGAGATTTGGAGGGGGGAGGAGGTCATTGTTGGGGTTACAATAACAACAACGGTTCTCTCGTGTATTCGTGGGAGATTCTGTACTTTTCAGGAGGTGCGTGCTTTGGGATGTGAGGGCCAGTTCCTCGTTAAGTCAGGCTTGGGGTGAATGAGCGACCGGGGTTTGTGGTATCGGTCGGAATCAAGACCGGGCAGAGAGGGTGTTTGTCATGGGGTCATCGTGGCCCTTAGGAGGTGTCACTGCCCAAGCTGTTGGGTGACCAGTGGGGGGTAATGTGGCTGTTTGGCTGGCTGGGTGGGTGAGTGGCTGGGCGGTTGGCTCACTGAGTGGGTAACTGAGTGGGTGGCTGGCTGAATGGGCGGATGGTTGGTTGGCTGGATGGGCGGATGGATGGGTGGCTGAGTGGCTGGGTTGGTGGCTGAGTGGCTGGGTGGGTGGGGATGATCGAGTCAGAAGCTTGTGTGTGGCCTGTGGATGAGTATTTGGCCGTCTGACACTTTGGGCTGAGAATAAGGGGCCCCCTCGGGAGGAATAAAGGGGCAATTAGGTTGAGCACTTGTGGCCAAGGCTTAGCAGAGATGAGGCCGGTTTTTTTTTGCGAAAACAATGAGCAGTAATGGAACATGGTGAGGCCCATTTGGGCAAGGGATGCATTCCACGTGCATGCACTCCCACATAAAGACAAAGATCCCCTGCGTAACCCACACATTCTGTTGAGACAAGTTCTGTTAGCGAGCACCACATACCTGTCAGCCCATGCGGTTTACCCGTATTATTGTGCAGGCAAATTGAGTAAAAACGTGTTTTGTCTATTTGTTTGTGTTTCTCCCTTGTGATCTTGTGATAGGACTTTGTAGGATGAAGGGGCACAGGGGTGACCAATACGGTCTGAATTGGTCAGTACTAAGGGAGGGCACTGATCAGGGGTTGACAAGTATGCAGTGGTTAGTGTACTAGCGGTGAGTGTACAAGGGGTGAGTGTACGAGTGGTGATTATCTATTTTTCTCCCTTGTGATGGAACTTTGTAGGATGAACGTTGAGATTCATAAGGGGCACGGGGTGACCAATAAGTATGGCCCCATGAGACTAAGATGACCATGCACGAGTGGGTGGTGTGGCCATAACCACGCCCGGCCACCATTGTCTCCCCAGTGCTGATGTTTACACACTGCAAAATATACCCAGTCAAGGCTGAGTCGACCTAGTGGAGGTCCAGGACTGGTTCGGATGTTCCTCACCGATATTGGCCATGAGCGGGAGTCGAACTCGGGTCGCGGGGTTTGCAGCGCAGTGTGCTCACCACTGCACGACCGTTCCCCACGCACACATCCACACGTACAGACACAGATACACATGGAATACGAATACACACTGCATACACTCACTCACACATATCCACTCGCATATGCATGAATAAACACAGGCATACATACAAACACATGCACGTGCAAGTCACATTACATAACCAAGAGCATAAATGAAAATGACCAACATGGCATATATGCAGGCGTGCAGGTCTCCTCTGAAAAATATTGTGATTCTTGGTGAGCTCTTCTGTAGCTACTGTACACAGAGGACGTTGATTTGGTTCAGTGAGTAGGTGAATTACTAAATGAATGAGCCAGTGAGTTCGTGGTGAAGTTAGCGCGGTGAACAAGCGAGTGAGTGGGCCAACGAGTGAGTAGCTGCTGAGTGAACGAGTGAATGCGAGAGCAATCGAATGAACGAGTCAACGAGCAAGTGAGCAGACGTGTGCACAGGTGAGTAAGCAGGCAGAGGAGCGAGTAGTAAGGTGAAGCGAGCGGCCTGTGTTGGTTTGAACCTCCCCATGCAGGCCAGCACGACCACCATGTCATCGCTAAGCCTTCCCCTTAACCTGGAGGGACCTCTGAGCAACATGGATTGGAATGACATCATGGCAGAGTATGAGGGTGAGTCACATCAATGATGATGATTGTTATTATTATACATTTGTTTACGCAGGGAAGCTTCTCGGATAGTCTCAAGCCTTTTTTTTGCATGCAGGTGGTCTGAACCACACCAACGCTTATGACGAACGCGGTACTGCTCACACGTACACTGCACGGAACTTGTGCATATCGTTGTAACTTATGATTGTGTTGCAAACCTTTCGTCTTCTGGGTGTCTTATCTCCCTGTCTTCCTGGAGGTTGATGCTTTGTAAGTGCCCAGTTCCATTCCCTTGTGTCAATATTCATGTTTTGATCTTTGTTGTTCGTTTATACCTGAGCAGGTTAGGCCTGCATATTTAACGTATAGGCAAGGCCTACCTATGTGAATTGGCCCACTTTTACCTCACCCTTCTGCCTATCCACCTCCTGCTGTTGTTATAAATCTCTCTTGATGGAATTCGAGTCGATTACAGTAAAACCTTGGATTGCGAGTAACTTGGTCTGCGAGTATTTTGCAAGACGAGCAAAATTATTAAGTAAATATTAATTTGATAAACGAGCGAGGTCTTGCAATACGAGTAGTGTACGTGTACACCACGCTTTGTCTGCCGAGCGTCACGTGATCACAACTGATATACGAGTGCTTTGATATACGAGTGCTTTGGATAACAAACGTTTCCGGAACGAATTATGCTCGCAATCCACGGTTTTACTGTATATTTATTTTAAAGGTATTCCAGCAGCCGAGGCCTGCTGTTTGTACGTCAAGGTGAGGCCGACCTGCTTACCCCACCTCACTTGTGACCCAACTCTTCTTCGCCGTCCATCCACACGTTTGAATTTCTGCGGGTTCCCGTTAATCATAGTTTTGATCAACACCGACATTTGCTGATTTGTTTTCTTACTCTGCCTCGTTATTTTGATTACGGGCCTTGTATTTTCGCGCATCTTCATACCTTCATACTTCTGTGTTTCTCGTCACATTCACCACCGACTCTAAACCCATCCTTACCTTGACCTCTGTTCAACTTGTGTTGCAGAGCTGCACTGTGTGTTTGCGCGTGGCGGCGGTGCTCTGGCCCTTGAATTGATCCGTTGCTTCACCGGCTTGCCAGATTTTCCAAGCCCACTCATTTTCTTTTGGTTCCACTGACACGGGTGGGGGGGGTGGGGTGGGTACGGACGCTGCACTTCGAGCAACTCCTGATGCCGTCGGCACGCATTGCCGGACTCAACACACACGGCCATAGCAGTGTACTGTTAGTTGCCTTGCAAATGTCGCGTGAAAGAACACGCCTTAAAAGTCGACGAGTCGTGTGTTTCTAGGGTGAAATCGTCGGTGACCTGCCTGAGGCCTTACCAACGCTCTCTCGCACCTTGAGAAACCCCCTTCGCTCAATCGCAGGTGGCAGCCCCGGGTTCTATAACACCGGTCTCGTTTCAGCGGCGCCGGTCGAAGCGCTCTCGCTTCGCCCCAACCCGGTTGACCCTCAGTGCCGGGCCCACCCTCCCCTCCTCCCTCTGAACGAACCCCGGGCCCCGGCTCTCCGCAGCCCGCGAGTCGTGGCGGCAGACGACGTCGTGGGGCGACATGGTGGAGGACGAGCCGCCTCGGCCACCGGGCCACGCCATCCAGATGCACGAGAAGCTGTCGTCCCCGTCGCGCAAGCGGTGGGTGTTCGTCCGAGGTCGCAAGCCCACTCGCTCCTTCCCTGGGTCAAACCGCTTCCGCTCCACAACGGCTCCTCCTTCCGTTCGCTCAACTCCTTTTGACTTTTCCCGCAGCGGAAAGTCGGCAGACCCGCCTTCGTTGTGACGCGTTGTGCGGTACGCTGTGCGGTACGCTGTGCGGTACGCTGTGTGGTGCGCTGCATGGTGCATTGTGTGGTGCGTTGCGTGGTGCGTTGTGTGGTGCGTTGTGTGGTGTGCTGCATGGTACGTTGTGTGGTGCGTTGTGTGGTGCGCTGCGTGGTGCGCTGCGTGGTGTGTTGCGTGGTGCGTTGCGTGGACTCAGGACGATTGCCGAGTCGAAGCGAAAGCACGAGGAGAAGCAGCTGAAGGCACAGCAGATCCGGGAGAAACTGCGGGAGGAAAACTCGCTCAAGCTGCAGAAGCTCATGGAGAGGGTGAGTTCCCCCTTGCATGATGATGATAATGAGCATCATCTTCATCACAATGTTCATCTTCAATCATCATCAGCAACACCATCATCGTCACTTGTTATTGTCATCATCATCCATACAACCGCCAGCAGTCACACCACAGCCACGAGCAGGACCCCACTATCCCCAGCAGCACCATCATCATCATGTTCACAGCATGACTCCGACTTGACTTTTGGCGATAAACTAACAGCCAGAGAGCGAAACCCAGTCATCATTTATTTTTAGTTTTCAATTTTTTTTGTTTTCCTCTGGTTTCGGGTTTTCGCGGTGCGCGAGGGCCCGTTTATTTCCACATCTGACACCTGAGCGGGCGCCGAGGGTGTACGTTACCCCGCGGGGTCAAGCGGGTAGAGCGAGCGGTTTTTAAACAGATGACGGCGCACGATACGGGGCCGGGAAAACAAGCAACAATTTTAAATAACGGGGCCCTCTAGAATCGCACGAAGAAAGGCACCTTTCATATATTATCCTCCGCACTAAGCCCAGCCGGCTGGAGCTACGCGGTCGCCCTCCCCCGCCCCCTCGCTCTTTCGCTCGCCTCCTCGTGCGCGCCTGCGCTTCTAATCGCCACCGCATCCGCCCAGGATCACTTGCCATTACCTGGAGAAAATCCTTCGTCGGCCGTAAAAAGGTTTGGGCTTAACTCACTCCCTGAGCGAGCTAATTACAATGCAGCGCTGTCGATTGACTGCCCTCCCCCGCTCTCGTTGGTCGGGGGCACGGGAAGATGAGATCACGAACTCGTGCATGGGTGAGAGGGTGGAAGGTGTGCTTGCTGGCGGGTAGGGGGACGTACGGACAAGACTACGTGGACGGAGCAACAAGGACTGGTGGATGGACGCACGCATGAACGGATTGGTTTGTCGGGATGGGCGGGACGAGTCTCGTGGTTGGGAAAGATGCTGACTGACAGAAGGACTTAGAACCGAACGAATGGACAGACATGATGGATTCCCGTACAGATGGATGGACAGGAGGCGTCGGCTAGACGGATGACTATGTAAGACAGAAGGAGAGACAGATGGACGCAATGGATTTATATTATACATGGACAGGCAGATAGACAGATAGACTTATGGACAGGTAGACAAATATAAAAATGTATAAGATGCGTGAACTGGCAGATGAACAAACAGATAGACAAGACGGACAAAAGTGACAAAAGTGATTAGACAAGCAAGATGCCTGGATTGGTTGACATATAAATGGATGAACAAGGTACACGGCAGGGGAAAATGTACGGAGTCACAAGACAAATTGACACGCGGATAAAACGCATGAGATGGGCAGACAAGATATATATCCATAAATGAGAAATACAGATAGGTGACAGACAGACTGTATGGATTGACCGGCAAGAAGGACAAACAATAAATGGACAAGATGAATGGGCCCGAACAATGCAGAAAGGGTGGCCAGTTAAATTAGCCTCTGCTGACCTCGTGGTCATCCTGGTCAGCAACCTCCACAAGAGTGTGTAACCTGCGCTGAGCAGCAGCAAGCGCCGACGGGGGAGGGGTGGTGTCAGAGGCGGCTTCAGGTCAAAGGTTCACTTCCCGGTCAAACTTGCAATCCCTCAGCAGTCTCGCGCGGCCCAGCTCGCTGTCTGTCTCGCTGTCTATCTCTCTCCATCTCTCTCACACTCGCCACACAGCCCGCTGCCCCCACCGCCAACACCAACACCACCACCACCCACCGTGCCCATTCATTTCAGGACAATTGTCTGGTGTATTGCTGCAGGCTCGGAGCCTTACACCGTGTCCTGCTCTAAGCTCCAGGCCAAAACGCTACTCCCCGGCGCTCGGATTACGTGTTTGTGCTGCGATTTTTTTTTCTTCTTTCTCAGTTCCTTCTTTTTTTTCTGTCTCCCAAGAAATTGCCTCGTATTCCTCCACCGCCCACACGCCCCACCGTGTCACACCTCCTCCCCCCTCCACCACCAGGTTCCTACGCCTTCTGTCAAAATAAAGAAATATATATATATAAGGCACAGCCCTGCAATTGCTTGCTCAGGCCCCTGCAGTTGGAAGGGCCCCCACTAGGGGGAGCTCTAGAGAGCCACTCCATGTGGGGTATTTTGACCTTCTCTACCACGCTGGCCCGATGTTTTAGGAAGAGGTTGGAGTACCCGCGCTTTCACCCCACCCCGCACGCGACGTGACGATCGATGATTTGTTTTTTGCCTCCGCCGCAGGTGAAGGAGGTGAGGAAGTGGAAAGAGGAGCTTCTGGAGCAGAAGCGGAGGATCATGGAGGAGAAGCTGCTTCGAGCCGAGTACCAGCGGGAGCTGCAGCTCCAGGCCATCGTCAAGAAGGCGCAGGAGGAGGAGGCCAAGGTCAGAAGCGCCGCCCCCTCTTCCCCCCCCCCCCCGCCAAGACCTTTGCCCTCTGCTGCTTCCACACTGCCGCCCCTGTGCTGCGGCTCTTGACTTTTAACCTGCGACCTCACGACCTTTACCCGGTCACATCCCGTCCTTTACGATGTAGCTGTTAATAAAAAAAAATGTCTTGACTTATGTGGACAGAACCCTTTTGTACTGTTGAACTGGCCCTGCTGAGATCCTGTGTTTGAGTCTGGGTTTCGGCCGCCACGTTCCCCAGGTGTGGCGAGATGACGGGCTTTAAATTTCGATGTAAAGCTTTCGTGACTGCAGGGATTCATCTTCTTGGTTCTTTCGGTAAAGTCACGTAGAAGGGAAATAATAAAAATAAAACATATAATAAAATTCTCACGACGTTTCGGTCACAACACAAGTAGCCGTCCTCAGGTGAAGAAACAGAACTGTCGGAAATAATTTATTTTGTTATGTTTTATTATTTTATTATTATTTTCCTTCTACGTGACTTTACCGAAAGAACCAAGAATATGATGGGCTTTGCTTGATCATCATTGACTTAAAAAAAAAACACAAAATTACATTTGGTTTAGCACTTGATTCTCTAGCCGTGAGAATAAAGAAAAAATGCGTTTCGCTGCTGTTGATGATTTTTATTGTTTAGCGAAGCTTTTGTTGCATAAGTTCAAGGTAGCATTGTGGGTGCAATGTAATGCTCGTGTATGGGCAGTGGGTGCCACACCTTCTGGGACCCGCGGATCTCCGCTGACCCTCGCAGACCGCCCCGGCACCAAACACACAGTGTCCCAAATTCAAACTACTCTTAAGATGTTGAATCGACAAGCCGTGAAAATAATTAACTTGCCGTCTCACCGAGTCGCGTTAAGGAGACAGTCGATGCCGCTTGGTGTTTTGCGAAAGAACATCATCAGTTTGAGGGAGCCACGTCTCAAGGCCTAGTGGACCACTGCAGTGGGTGGCAGAGTTTAAGATTGTGCGCTGTTTGTCAAAGTCACCCGTGACTTCAGCCGCCCGTGTAACGACTTGCCGTGTTACAGCGCCTTGGAAGTTATCGTGATTCTCATAATTTATTTCAAGCTCATAACATTACAGACGTACCTTCGGAAAATACATAGTACTCACATGGTGTCATCGTTGGAGGTTGAATAACTCAATTATAACTTATCTGGAGCACATATGTCAGGGCAGACATTGGAGGTTTTCGCGTGTCGACTGTGCTGCAGCCACAGCAGCTGTGAGATCTGGCGGAGGGGAGAACACGTTGGTGAGGTGGTGGTGGTGGTACCACCAACGGCTTCCGCCACGATGACGTCAAAGCCACGATGACATAGTGGATCTTGGAGTGAGGATGCAGAGAGTAACTGTGTTGGTGATGAATGATGAGTAAACAGATTGTGTGGAGGTCACATGGTTGAGTGGGGGTGGGGTAGAGAGGGGAGGGGTGGTTGGGGGATGGGTGGGGCTGTTCTAAGGGCCAAAGACTCCCCATATAGCCATACAGGCTGTTAGGGCAAGTGCGGTTTGCGAGTGCCTATGAAAGTCGGCACGGCACACACGAAGGGTGGTGTGACCAGCACCACTGTGTCCACCTTTGTCTTACAAATGCCCGATGTTTGCACACCACACCGAGTGCAATTTTTTGAAGAGTCAACCTCGGGGAGGTCCAACACCGGTTCAGATATTCATCACTGATATTCGTGATGGGGCAGACATCAAACTTTCTTCGCCAAGTTCATAACAGAGTGCACTTAACCGCTGCATCACCGCTCACCACATTAAGGGCCACACACACACACACGGGCGCGCGGGCGGGCGAGCGGGCGGGCGAGTGAGCGGGCGAGGGAGCGGGCGAGCGAGCGAAACTTGGCTTTTAAACCAGGTCCTCACCCGCCCTCCCACCCCACTTGTGAGTGAGCATTAGCGGGCGAGCCACATTCAAGTGCTGCTTAATTTCTCGCTAATGACCGTCTCTCTTGGCCCGCATTCCTGCTCGGCTTTGCGCACATTACGCCGACCTCGCTTCCTCGTCCCTCCTCTCTCTCTCTCTCCGCCCCCTAAAACCCGTCCAGCCTTTGTCCTCACCCCGTCGCAGCTCGTTAACCGTTGCGCACACGACGCCTCTCTCGTATTCTTAATCACGGCCGATAATTGACGATGTGAAGCGGAAACGCCATTCGATGCCAGGACTGTTTACGAAGGGGGATAAAGTCTCATTGTCATCATCATCGTGGTCGTCAGAAGCAAGCGTCATCAGCACCATCGGCAGCTGCAGGATATATGCACTGTCATCAGCACGATCGTTGCCATTGTCGTCATCGGTGGTATCATCACCGTTGTTAAGTTGCAAGTGTCTTTTGTTTCATTTCGTAAGAACTCCAGAGACCAGAATAGTTTAATTTGCAAGAATGGCTGAAGGCATCAGTCTGCCAGTCGTGGAGTAATGACTGCGGTGCGTAATCCCAATTCAGTAATTTGCGGTGCCATTTTCGAATTTGGAACCTGACACCAGCTTACAATGGGCCTTGTTCTTGTCATTGAGTTCTACTTTGAAGCAAGAAGGCGGTGTCATATTACACCGCAGTAATAACTTGGGCGGCCACTGGATTCGAACTGTGAACCTCTGCAACGAGTGGTAAGCACGCCACCTGCTGGGTCATGTCATCGTGATCGTCATCATCACGACGAGGCTTGTTCTACTCACCAAGTTCCTCCTCACAGAGCCACACTGGCCTGCATGATGAAGTATGGTCAAACAACTCTCTTGACCGACACGACGTGGGGAGGCCTTAATTTAGCGGTTGAAATAACAAAGAGCAGGGAATTATTATTATTCCAAAAATAGTAAAATCGGAAAGACTTGTGATAACATTTCGATTCATACTTAAGGCAAAATGAAAAAAAAAACACTGCCTTTTGTATTGAACGAAAACCTTTACGAGTAAATGTTCTGAAGGCAGCACAAGGCGTCCAGACTGGTGGGCAGACTTGGACCGGGAAGAGACAGTCACTTTTCCAAGCTCCACGTAATTCCCCCACGTGTGACGCGTGGAAGTTCGTCGGCCGTTGCCAACCCACCCAACCACCTACCAACCGCGAACCAACCAACCACCAACACACCCATCCACCCAACCACCCACCCAACCAACCACCCAACCAACCACCAACCCACCCATCCACCCAACCACCCACCCAACCAACCACCCAACCAACCACCCAACCAACCACCAACCCACCCATCCACCCAACCACCCAACCAACCAACCACCAACACACCCATCCACCCAACCAACCAACCACCAACCCACCCATCCACCCAACCAACCACCCACCCACCCACCCAACCAACCACCCACCCACCCAACCAACTACCCACCCACCCAACCACCCACCCACCCAACCAACCACCCACCCAACCAACCACCCACCCAACCAACCATCAACCCACTCATCCACACAACCAACCACCCAACCGCCAACCCACCCACCAACCAAGCAGCCACCCACCCAACTAACCGCCACCCAACCAACTAACCAACCAAGTGCCCTCCCACCAACCAACCACCCACCCACCCAACTAACCAAGTGCCAACCCACCCATCCACCCACCCACCCCAACCAACCAACCACCCCAACCCGCCCGCCTTAGGTTGTTGTGAGAAAAATACTTGTGGGCGTCAGAGCCGTGCGGCTCGTCAGCTATCCCTCTCCCCTAATCCCGCTAAATGTCCCGAGAGCCGCGCGGCGGTTCACGGGTAGGATTCCGTGTGACGGGCCGCTCAGGGGGGGATTACCCCGGTGCCACGCGTTCGCACGACCCCCCCCCCCCTGCCCACCCCCCCCCCCCCATCCCCCCACCTCCCCACCTCTCTCTGTCGGGGAGAGGAGGTGGATGGGAGGCAAAGTAAAAATACTCCGCTCCGTCGACCCCCCAACCAGCGGCCGCTCCTCCCCCACGCTTCCCAGCAGCGCCACCCCGCACGGCGCTCCCCAGTAGCGGCGTCACGTGTTATCGCCCTGCGGCAGAACCGGGCTCGCGATACGATGAGTCGATTTGCTTTATCTGACGTGGTGGCGGTGAGTGTACACGGACACGATGATATTATCGTCGTCGTCAACGGCCATGATCTATATTCTTGGTTCTTTCGGTAAACAATTGTATTGTTTAATATTTTTATTATTTTATTGTTTCCCTTCCACGTGACTTTGCCGAAAGAACCAGGAATATGAATCCCTGCAGTCACGAAAGCTTTAAATCAAAAGCCATGATCTAGTCTACTGCTGGATGAAGGCCTCCTTGAACCGTCACCTTGTCTCACGTCCTGCAATCTTGACAACCCGTCTAGCTCCTGCACAAGAGCTGATTTCGTGGCTCCGTCTCCCGCGGTGGGCGCCCTCTCGGGTGTGTTTCTCTCCTCTGGCTGCCACTCCGTCGAGTGTCTCGCCGATGCGGCTGTTCTCCCCCCCCCGCCCCACAGCGACACGTCCTGCCCAAGCCCTCACTCCTCGAAGCAGCCCTCAACTATTCTCTCCGGAACGTGTGGTTCGTGATGCTATCATACGTCGATGCGTAGACGTCAAAAAAGCGTAAGAGAACGACCCTCCCCACTTAACGAACAACAACCAGTGAATGAGCCACCTCTGATCTTAACGCCCACCCCTCCTGTCCATTAGCTCGGTAATTCTTTCTCCCCGCGATGCTGATGGCAGAACCGCCAACAGGCGCATCCCTCGGCACAAAGGAGCGCCGGGACGCGCTAATGACGCCCACGGCAGGGACCGCCCTGCTTTTAAAACGACGGTCCCACCGAGGCAGTGGTGGTTGGTGGTGTTGGTGATGTTGGTGGTGGAGATGGTAGTGGTGAGGCGGTGGGTGGTGTTGGGTGTTGGCGGTGTTGGTGGTGCGGATGGTGGTGGTGGTGAGGTGGTGGTGGTGTTGTGTAGAGGCGGTGTTGGTGGCGGTGCTGATTCCGGGGGACGGC